ATAGTTATTAAGATTACCCTAGTCCCACCTCACCCTTGGAGGAAACCAGCGCTTGCGCTGGGGGATTGGGGGCCAACAGCTAGTAACAACTGTCAGCCCAAAAACATCATTGAAACTCTTTTAGGCCCCATTGGAGTCTGCGAAATCCAAAGCGATTGAGAAGGATGAGCAATCGCTGCAGGTGTTGGCTAGCGAAGGACGGTGGAAAGCTACGTACCAAAAGAGGTTGTGAAAGAAGTTGGTAAAGGAGCTGCAGCTCAGTTGCAGCTCATTCCTTTTGAAAAGACTGCTCTGTATTTGACAGAGTGAATTTGAAGTCTAGGAATAGATAGTTATTAAGATTACCCTAGTCCCACCTCACCCTTGGAGGAAACCAGCGCTTGCGCTGGGGGATTGGGGGCCAACAGCTAGTAACAACTGTCAGCCCAAAAACATCATTGAAACTCTTTTAGGCCCCATTGGAGTCTGCGAAATCCAAAGCGATTGAGAAGGATGAGCAATCGCTGCAGGTGTTGGCTAGCGAAGGACGGTGGAAAGCTACGTACCAAAAGAGGTTGTGAAAGAAGTTGGTAAAGGAGCTGCAGCTCAGTTGCAGCTCATTCCTTTTGAAAAGACTGCTCTGTATTTGACAGAGTGAATTTGAAGTCTAGGAATAGATAGTTATTAAGATTACCCTAGTCCCACCTCACCCTTGGAGGAAACCAGCGCTTGCGCTGGGGGATTGGGGGCCAACAGCTAGTAACAACTGTCAGCCCAAAAACATCATTGAAACTCTTTTAGGCCCCATTGGAGTCTGCGAAATCCAAAGCGATTGAGAAGGATGAGCAATCGCTGCAGGTGTTGGCTAGCGAAGGACGGTGGAAAGCTACGTACCAAAAGAGGTTGTGAAAGAAGTTGGTAAAGGAGCTGCAGCTCAGTTGCAGCTCATTCCTTTTGAAAAGACTGCTCTGTATTTGACAGAGTGAATTTGAAGTCTAGGAATAGATAGTTATTAAGATTACCCTAGTCCCACCTCACCCTTGGAGGAAACCAGCGCTTGCGCTGGGGGATTGGGGGCCAACAGCTAGTAACAACTGTCAGCCCAAAAACATCATTGAAACTCTTTTAGGCCCCATTGGAGTCTGCGAAATCCAAAGCGATTGAGAAGGATGAGCAATCGCTGCAGGTGTTGGCTAGCGAAGGACGGACTGATCGGAACGCCCAAGTACGTATGCAAAGAAGGTACAGTAGCAGGACAGTGGAAAGCTACGTACCAAAGAGGTTGTGAAAGAAGTTGGTGAATGAGCTGCAGCTCTATATATATAACTGAATCATTAATTGGTATTTATGCTACTTCTAGAGTATCCAACTGCCAGTGTAATAGGTACACCAGGAACTAGGTTGCTTTTGGTCAACAAAGTTTGAACCATGTGGAGGCGTTCAATTGAGGAACGTTGCTTGTAAGTCGAAAGTGTCAAGGGACGATCGGCTCTCCCACACGAGGTGGGGTGGAGAATATGTATGTGTTAGACTGGGGTACGTGTGGCTTGTGATGTACCGGTGTTGAAATTGCTCTCTTGGAGACCATTCATTGGAAACTCCTTGATGGAAGCAGTTCGACACGTCCGATCGGACAGACGGACAAATGTTCGTTTGGTCCGTTTATTCGGGGGATTCCTATGAGTCGGTTTTGCAGGGAATCTGAAAACATGGAATTGTGCGCTTGGACTATCAAACGTCTGAGCGCCACGAAAATCCCATACTGAATCCTGCGGGAGTTTGGTACGTGGGTTTTGTACCGGCCTTTCTGGATTGCATAACATCCAGTAAAGTTTTGGGAAATTTGAGTTTTCGTGCAAGGCTTTTGCTTTGCCCATTCCATGTAGATAACAAGTCTTTTAGAATAGTTATTTCCTGTAGAGATGATTATTTCCTATTAGGCGGATCGGAGATCGCTATGGCCGGTGCCTCTGCTTGACGACTTGATGGGTCGCATGTTGGCACGGCTGGTTGGCAATGTTGGCTTTATGGGCCACAAAGTGTGTTGGTGAAATGGGATCTTAACAAATAAAGGAACAGTCGAACATGTCGGACAGTGAAGTCGGACATTCGTGATATCGAACACGGACGGGAGTACGGTTCGAGTACTTACAGAGATGGATAAGTATTGAAGGTAGATCCAGATCTGTGACTAGTTTGTGAAGAACATGTGCGTATGTGCTTTATGCGCCGCGACAGCTGGTGAGAGCTGACGCAGGTTGCTTCCGGAAGAGATTTTTTGTACCTGCTTGTGGTACGTGGGTTTTGTACCGGCCTTTCTGGATTGCATAACATCCAGTAAAGTTTTGGGAAATTTGAGTTTTCGTGCAAGGCTTTTGCTTTGCCCATTCCATGTAGATAACAAGTCTTTTAGAATAGTTATTTCCTGTAGAGATGATTATTTCCTATTAGGCGGATCGGAGATCGCTATGGCCGGTGCCTCTGCTTGACGACTTGATGGGTCGCATGTTGGCACGGCTGGTTGGCAATGTTGGCTTTATGGGCCACAAAGTGTGTTGGTGAAATGGGATCTTAACAAATAAAGGAACAGTCGAACATGTCGGACAGTGAAGTCGGACATTCGTGATATCGAACACGGACGGGAGTACGGTTCGAGTACTTACAGAGATGGATAAGTATTGAAGGTAGATCCAGATCTGTGACTAGTTTGTGAAGAACATGTGCGTATGTGCTTTATGCGCCGCGACAGCTGGTGAGAGCTGACGCAGGTTGCTTCCGGAAGAGATTTTTTGTACCTGCTTGTGGTACGTGGGTTTTGTACCGGCCTTTCTGGATTGCATAACATCCAGTAAAGTTTTGGGAAATTTGAGTTTTCGTGCAAGGCTTTTGCTTTGCCCATTCCATGTAGATAACAAGTCTTTTAGAATAGTTATTTCCTGTAGAGATGATTATTTCCTATTAGGCGGATCGGAGATCGCTATGGCCGGTGCCTCTGCTTGACGACTTGATGGGTCGCATGTTGGCACGGCTGGTTGGCAATGTTGGCTTTATGGGCCACAAAGTGTGTTGGTGAAATGGGATCTTAACAAATAAAGGAACAGTCGAACATGTCGGACAGTGAAGTCGGACATTCGTGATATCGAACACGGACGGGAGTACGGTTCGAGTACTTACAGAGATGGATAAGTATTGAAGGTAGATCCAGATCTGTGACTAGTTTGTGAAGAACATGTGCGTATGTGCTTTATGCGCCGCGACAGCTGGTGAGAGCTGACGCAGGTTGCTTCCGGAAGAGATTTTTTGTACCTGCTTGTGGTACGTGGGTTTTGTACCGGCCTTTCTGGATTGCATAACATCCAGTAAAGTTTTGGGAAATTTGAGTTTTCGTGCAAGGCTTTTGCTTTGCCCATTCCATGTAGATAACAAGTCTTTTAGAATAGTTATTTCCTGTAGAGATGATTATTTCCTATTAGGCGGATCGGAGATCGCTATGGACGGTGCCTCTGCATGATGGGTCGCATGCTGGCACGGCTGGTTGGCAATTATGGCTTGATGGGCCACAATGTTGTCAATCGGTTTGGACGAAGACAAGCAGTCTGATGTCCGCCAGAACCGATTTCCAACAGATTTATGTGAGAGTATTGCGAGCCATCTATGGGATGTTAGAGGCCTCTATGCTCTGGTACAAAAAGTTGAGAGGAGACATGGAGAAACATGGTTTTATTTTTAATCCATACGATGGATGTATTGCCAACAAGATTGTGAACGGCAAACAGCAAACTATTCGATTTCATGTGGACGATCTGTTATCAAGCCACATCGATCCAAAAGTGAATGATGATTTTTGTGAATGGATGAATCAAAAGTATGGTTCAATCAAACCAGTCAAATCCAAGCGAGGAAAAATTCACGAATATTTGGGAATGACCCTAGATTTCAGTAAAAGGGGGAAAGTCTAAGTCCAAATGGATGACTATGTTAATCAAAGGTTGAATGAATTTCCTGTGAAGTTCAAGGAAAATGAAGGGTGTAAGACACCAGCAAGTAACGATTTGTTATCAATCGGAAAAGGAGAAAAATTGGATGATGAGAAACGTGAAACTTTTCATACATTCATCGCCAAAGGATTATTTCTGAGTAAGACAGCGAGATTGGATATTGCTCCAACTATTTCAGTACTTTCTACAAGAGTACAGAAACCAAATGAAACTGATTGGAAGAAGCTTGTTAGAATAAAGCAAAATGTGCTCTATCTTGAGTGCCTTTAGCGCTCAGAACAAACTCTCTGCAATCTAAATTTGTAATCGACTGTACAACACTTTCACAACTACAGTTATCTGTGTCTAGGTATACTTTGAGTGAAATTTTTCCAATTTGATTAATAATTTGCTTGAATTGATGATTCAATCACAAAAGTAAGTTCAACAATTTTCCCTTGGAAAATCCCTTGTTCACAGAACTTGATTCGACCTCTACGACAATTCTGTGTTGGATGCAGTACTTTGGGACATCTTGTATTATTCCCTACTGCATTGTACACAACATCGATATCTCACTTGTATAGGATCATTCCCTTTTTGTGTGAATGTAGATTGTCCGACAGACAGGCGTCTGGCATACTTGCGTCAAATCCCGACATCACGATCAAAGTCTGATCGTACGTGTTGAAAACTTTGTACTTGAATAGTTTCTTTTTGGAACGTAAAAATTCATATTTCATATCCCAACACACTCCTGCCATTGTGACAATCACCATTGGCAGCAATGGGACATGCTCTCATCCACTGTTTATTTTTGTTTTGTATATTCATTTTTGAATATATACATACTTGTCTGACCTAGTCCTGTGGACCAAGAATCAGATCCCTGAACTTGCGAAACTTCTCACCTTGCAATGGCTTAGTCATGAAATCCGCAATCATGTCGTCAGTTGGACAGTATTCAATCTTAACATTTCCTTTCTCAACTTGATCTGTGATAAAGAAATAACGAATATTGATAGCTCGGTACGTCCAGCGTCATTACATCTCTACCTTTGTGTGCATCAATAACACAAGTAGTGGTGATTGCTTCTTGTGAAGCAGTTGGACTTGCAGTGTCCTCTCACGACCTTTAATTGTCTTTTCAAATTGCTTCTCCGCGAGTAACATCATTGCTGATTGTGCCTTCTTTTGCTCAGACGCGGTCATGTCTTTAACAAATTCGGGAGTGAAACAATCTCTCATGAGCATTTGTGTCAATTCCTTATCCACCGCATCCTTTCCATCATCACCAAACTTCTTCAGTCCTTGATTGATGTAATACTGTTGAATGAAGTTCAGACCTTCATCAGTATCAAACTTGGCCTTGATCTGCATCATGCAAGGAGCAATCAGAATAGCGTCGTGCTCTTCATAATCAGGCCATTCTCTTGGTCTCTTTGGAACTTGAGAAAGGTTCAGCCCAGACATTGCAGCTTGCGCATACGTTTGCCCAGATCGAGTGACTTTTGCTACTTGAGGCTCTTCAGGCTCAAATACAATCTCTTCTCCTGGCGGCTCTTGTAGGTCCTCCAGATCAGTAACTAGGCTCCCAATATCATCGGTTCCTCTATCGACATTTTCTTGATGGTGATCCAAATCCGCCACAATAGGTTCTTCCTCTTCATTGCCTTCATCACCCAAATTGTCGTCTGATTCATAGTCGTCATCTCCACGAATCTGACAGTGAGTTCTGGCATATCATCGACATTATTGTCTGCATCTGCCAAGAGCTCTTCTCTTTTGGAGTCATTGATATCATCAACCATAGATTGAAATCATGTTCATCTTCATCTTCAGGTTCATAGTCCTGATCAAAGGCTTCTTCTAGGTAACCTTGTTCCGTGTCATCCACTCCTGCAATTTGATTGCCATCTTGAAATGTCTCCAAATCTCTCTTCTTATCAAAGAACTTCATGGAAGTAACACCTTCGGCAGCAGCCCAAGCTTCAACACACTGGAATACTTGGTCGGTAACGGGTAGTACAACGACCTTGGGTCAGGAAATCATTTTCTCAGTATTGAGGTTGAGCACTTGGTGCCCAGTACGTTGTCCCTTAGTAGGTTCAATGTAAATCGCTTTGATACTTCGGGGTTCCATCAAATTGCTGGAATCCGTCCCAATTGCATGAACATATTGTCCAAGTTCAGCAACCATGTCACTCTTGTAGTTGATATTGACATTATCAATGAGTTGCTGTGGACTGAAATGTGATGAGATACTGTCTTTCTGGGGAAAGACATTCAATAGCTCGGCGGCTCAACGTCCAAGACAATCAGTAATCACCTTTGGGACCACTTTGTAGGGTAATCGTGCAAGAGCTACTCTGACTCTTTCTTTCAGCGTCCTATTGTTTCGCTCAGCGGTAGGCTTGTGGTCCCCAGCTGCAGTCGGGTCAATAGCAACACCCATATCGTCTAGCATATCATCTGTGAGAGGAGTGAATGCCCGATCACACTTGATGATTGTGACTTGAAAGCCTGCCTTGTTGTAGCGGCGGAATATCTTATCCAATGCTTCAAATACAGGGTCAGTCTTCAGGTTCTGCACGGGAATACATGAGGGATAATGCACAGTGGTATCAATGCAGGTGAGAAACTTAGCATTCTTGATCTCCATGTGATCAATACAGACGGTAAAAGATCAATTGTGCTGATATAATTCCTCTGGTGGACTGAAGAAGTCGTCGAACGTCTTCTTCGGAGTTGGTCTTGTTGACTTGCGTTTCAATGTAGAGGCGTCAGGTCCAAAGATTGCTTCGGCATGATTGATCGCTTCTTTGGTGATAGGACAGTTCTTCATGAGACCAGATCGGATTGCATACTTCAGACTTTTGGTGCTTGGAGCATTGAGTATGTGCATTGCACTTCTCGCTTCCATTGCAGCCTTGACTTGTCTTGGAGTGAATCCTTCCTTGTTCTTTCAAACGGTTGCCATCTTGGAGGTCATCTTGAGTCCAGCATATCCATTCTGTTTGTTTGAAGAAAGTTCGAAATGGGGTTGATTATTTAAGTTGCTACACTGGCGACGGTACATCGCACTTGTCTCTTTGGCACCTGGTTTGACATTTGCTCCAAGTTGCTCCAACACATACACACCCTTACGATTCACAAATCGCATTCTTTGGTTTCCATCACAATGCACAATAAAAGCATTGTCAGCATCAGTATCCATAGTAATGCGGTATCCCGCAGCATTCATCTCGCAAATAGCAAGTACATTGGCAATTCCATCTTCATCGTGATAAACTGGAGGTGGAAATCTTCCTAGAAAACCTTCTTCGTCGAGAACTCTGCTGCCCACGTTAGTGTGCATGTCAAGTTGGAGTCCATGCATAAGCTCACCATTACAAATGGTGGTGTTTGTACAATCACTGTCCATGATGACATGATCGTACAACCCAAATGGATCTCTTTCCTTTCTGCGGCTTTGAATAAACTGCAGACCTCAATCTGCTTCAGTAGCAAGATCAGGCAAATCTTCATCTTCACTAGCATAGTGCCAGTCGGCTTGAAGTTTGACATTTGTTGTACCAGTAGGACATGGAATAAGATAGACATCATTGCCATTCTCATCCTTTCCCTTGATAGCATCGTGAAAGACGTTTGACGTATCAAAATATCCAGTTTTTGCAGCTTGCGGAGTTCGAGCTTGAGTTGCATCAAATCCTTGGCGCACTTGAGCGAAGCCTTGTCGGCTGAGTTGCATTCCACTGAACGCAATCTCACCGTTAGCATTCATAGAATAAGGGACAGTAACAGTGCCACCACCTTGAGTTGGAATCTGCATGAGCTGCATTCCCAAAGGAATTTGCATCATTTGATTACCTGTAGTACCAGCAAGTTGTAAAAGTTGTAAAGGTGTGCTAACGCTTCCATCCTTGAACTTGTTTTGAGCAGCAGTATCGGTGCTAGCAATAGCAGCATACGCTTTTGTCTTGACTGCAAAATCTCGGAACCAGGCCACGCCATATAGATCTTGCAGGACCTCAGCCTGTCTCAAAAATCGTTCCTTGAAATGCATCAAGTTTTTTGTTGTTCCTTGCTTCATAGCAAAGAACTTTTGATTCGCTTCCCAGAAATCCAAGAAATCATACTCAGCATCAGCACTCTTCTTCATGAATGGTTCAATACGTTTCAAGAGTTTGATTGGATCTTCAAGAGTAGTCGTGAAATTGGATTCACCTCGAAGCTTGATATCCATCGCCTTCGTCACAAACTTCAGCATGATGTTTGATTTAAAGGTTCTCTTGTTTGTCTCAAAGTATGCTGATCTTCGCAAGTTCTTGTCGAGCTTTGCAGAATAGAGAATCTTGTTTTGTGCCATCTCTGTTTCTCTTGCAACAGCTTCAGTTTGAGTTGGAGCGTTCAATCTTGAAGCGATTGCATTGAAGTTGACCGACTTTCCATCTTGAATTGATTTCACCATTTCTTCGGAAGATTTCATTCCAGAAGCTTGGATATAATCAATCACTCTTTCTTCGGCATCTTCGTACGACGATCTTGCCTTTCCATTGTTTTCATCTTTGTTGAAAATAGATGTTTCACAACTGTTGAACTCGAATTGCTCTTGACTTTCTGAGGAGTCACACGACCTCTTCCACCACCGAATGAAGAACGTCCCATTGTCAAGGAATCACTCACTTTTTTGTAGATAAGGCAGTGCTGTTCTTGGCGTAAATTTGTTTTGTTGCCTTTTGTGATTGAATGTTAGCATAAAGCAAAATGTGCTCTATCGTGAGTGCCTTTAGCGCTCAGAACAAACTCTCTGCAATCTAAATTCGTAATCGACTGTACAACACTTTCACAACAATAGTTCTCCTGTGTCTAGGTATACTTTGAGTGAAATTGTTCCTATTTGATTAAAATTTGGCTTGAATTGATGATTCAATCTCAAAAGTAAGTTCAACGATTTTCCCTTGGAAAATCCGTTGTTCACAGAGCTTGATTCAACCTCTACGACAACTCTGTGTTGAATGCAGTACTTTGGGACATCTTGTATTATTCCCTACTGCATTGTGCACAACACCGATATCTCACTTGTATAGGGTCATCCCCTTTTTGTCATTCCCCTTTTGTGTGGATGTAGATTGTCCGACAAAATCGTTGAACTTACTTTTGTGATTGAATCATCAATTCAAGCAAAATATTAATCAAATAGGAACAATTTCACTCAAAGTATACCTAGACACAGAGGACTGTAGTTGTGAAAGTGTTGTACAGTCGATTACAAATTTAGATTGCAGAGAGTTTGTTCTGAGCGCTAAAGGCACTCACGATAGAGCACATTTTGCTTTATTCTAACAATGGCGTACTGTAGAGAGGCCCCTGATCCCTTGTGGACTTCCGCGTAAGCTGCTGCCCTTTCTTGGGCCGCCTTGGTCACTCCAACATCAAAGCCTCCATAGGATGGAAAGACAATAGCGAAGGGGTGAATTCCTTCTTCAAGGTCGTCAGTGCTGTTGCTTCCAAGTTTCACCGCCTTCACTATCTTCACCAAGTCCGGAGTGACAATGGGTAATTCCGAAGCCCATTGTCGCTTCGCTGCTCGCTTGGGACCTGAGGGCGGTTTCCAAAACGTCAAGGTTGTTTTTCTTGGACTGAGAAGCCCATTCGGACCAGACAGGTGAGCACTGGCTAGTGTCTTGGAAGTGGAGAACGCTGAGGAGCTTGTGGAGCATGGGACCAAAGAATCCATCCACACTCTTGGGGGCCTTGGACTTGGCTTCTTGTGCTGTCGCTTTGGTCTGGGCGTCCTTTTGGGTTCGGACCAGTTTGTTGACTGATTGCGCCAGGCTCTGCTGAATTCCTAGCATGGACGGAAGTGAAGCTTCCTTCAGGCCTGGAAGATGCTGTTCCAACAGCTCTCGGCGTTGTACCTTGAGCGCTGCATCATTGAAAGGTCTATCAGGCAATGTTGTTGCAAGAGTTGGTGGAGCGCCCGCTCCTGCTCTAACCAGTGACAGTAGTAGCCAATTGGTGAGCTCGGGGCACTCAATTTTGTCTCCAGTGTTTTTGATGGCTGCTGCCAAGTCGATGAAACCTTGGCGTCCCAGAACCAGATGCACATAGCGGTGCGGCAGAGGGATGTAGTAACCGGTCTTCACTTGCTTGATGTTGGCATCCGTGTCCTGGAACGGTCCAATGGAGGAGTCGTCCGGATTGAGCTGGAGAATGTCCAGAGCTTGCTCCAGATCCTTTGGGACGTTTTCCTCTGTTCCAGTTCCTGGCGACATAAAGGCGTCCTGTGGAAATTCTACCATGGTGATGGTGTTGGCAACCACATTGCCGGTGAACGCGTAGGCCTTTCCATTGCAGCGGCTTGCGACCCCAGGCAGTGACTTGTAGAAGGCTGGTGCATGGACCAATAGGTAGAACAAATTCCCATTGTCATTGATGAGCAACAGGTAGGCCATGAGAAAAGCGGAGGCAGACAGTCCGGCGCTGTTGTACAACGATTGAGCAGGTGTAGGAGTGTCTTAAACTCTGTAGTCTCGCATGAGCGCTTGGTAGTCTTGTTGATGGGGGTCCAAAGTGGTGTTGCCGAAAAATTCATGGTAAGTGGTAAGCTGTGGTGTTGGTGCTGCTGGTGCAGTGGCAGCTGCGGGTGCTGTTGGCGCTGCCACAGTCGGCGCCGTTGGTGCTGTTGCCGCGGCCATGATTACTTAAAACTTTTTCTATTCTATGCCTACTCAATGTTGACATGTCTTACAACTTTGATCCTGATGCGTTAGGAAGGAGAAAAGACAAGAATATGTGATCGCTGTTGTTGAGGACTCGCTGCGGGATCTCTGCTGTGCGCACGACTTGACAGGCCCTATTATGGAATTTCTCCGGAGACTGAGAAACTTTTGGAAAAAATGGATATAGAAGACTTTCGGACATGCTCCATTGTCTTCTGCACAAGGAATGAAAAAGTTCAAACCAAATTTGCAATTCAAATTGTACAACAGTGAATCCAAGGGATGTGGAATCTGGAATCCACAACTCTGAAATTCCATTTCCGCATCATGTGGAAACAGAATTTCCATTTCCGCATCATGCAGAAATGGAATTTCCATTTCTTCACTTGGAAGCTGGAGCCAAAAGGTTTCTTTAAGGGAAAGAAAAATTGGGGGAAGCATTTGATTGCATATGCCAAAAGCTACCAGTAGGGCGTGGATAATGCCAAAAGAAAATGTCAGGAGAGATATATGAATACAACTAGCTTTGGGTGCTTCAGCGCCAATAGTTCTTGTATCGCTCTGGTGGCTAGATACTAGCTCCTGTTCTGATAGCAATCTATTGACACTATAGTAAACTATACATATTTAGGATTACACAACATCCAAGATCAATCGTGGATCAGATCAAGGGAATATTTCAGTGCTTACAATCCTCCCCTCTCCCAGATCTCCATTTATCAAAATGGTAATTGTGCCAACAGAAAATGGAGAATGTAGGGAAATATGAACGTTGCCAATTATTTTTAGCAGAATACGGCAAGCATGCTCTCCATTTAAAAACACTTCGTGATAGAAGCAACGCACTCTAACAACTTTGGGGGAGACTTGGGGGTAGAAATGGAAATCCTATTTCTGCACCGTTGATAGAATTGCCATCAGAGTAGAATATCTGAAAGCATCATTTATGACTATACTATATCAGACTTTCCTATCGCGGCTGTGGCCAGCAAGGAACCATGCACTGTTTCTGTCAATGCTTTTGCCTGTGAATCTTACTCAAAACCGGTTGATTATTGCATGCCTTCAATTGTGGAGCACGTATTTACTCCCTTTGCGGTGAAATAGGCTTTGTGGTGGCCCTTACTCATCTTGCTTGTTTCCCAAAATGTTGAGTCCATTGAGGACACCGCGATTGTCTACCAAATCCACTATTGGCTGGTTCTTGCAAGCCTCACATAAGTAAGCATTTCAATAGTATCAGCTGCTAGAGTCAAGCAGTATTCGTGCCTTCATTCACCTTGCTTCCAATTAGTTTGTTGTCTCCGAGTTTTGATTTAATCTGCGATATGGAGGGATGTAAGATATTGTTATTGGCTTAGACATCATTTCAGTACTGCTGTAGGCAGTCCAGACACATCGATTATCACATCAAACATTCATGGATTGTTACCTCGTTCTAAATCTGTCTAAATCCTGGCTAACGCCAGGATCATAGTTTATGTCATCTTGCGACACCATGCGTGAAACCAGCACTGTGTTGTATTGTCCCTTCATTGCAATCCTATTGCTTTCTCCTCTTTTCTTCTCTCTTCGTTTTTTCTTTCTTCTTCCTCTCTCCCCTTCTTTTCTCCCCAGGGGATCTAGTATAAACTGCTCGACCAGCATAGAATGGACGAATTTCGCGTGTTTTCCGTGTATTTGAATCGATGTAGAACGTCTGTTTTCAACGGATTTTATACGTCGAATTTTTTCAAATCCAATTGGAATGACCATTGATTTTTCATTATATTAGACAAATCCCTTAAGTAAAATACTCCGATTTCAATCGTTTTTGCCGTGTCCCACAAAAGGCTGAGGACTAACTTAGGCACAGTAGCGATTGAAAGATTGCTAAAGAGATATTATGAGCTTAATGGAGAACTACTTCCCTGGGCAGAACGCGATAGCCATACTGAC